CTGTAATTTCTTGTTTGTTCCAACTCCTACAAAGCCAATGGAAGGTCCAATATTAAAGCTGTTAGATGAGCTGGAAAAAGTAGCAAACAATCACACCATTCAATCCAATTTAATCCGATCCAAGCTGCATTTATATTATATATCATGTTTCAAAACTCCCAAAGAAGCATACCGTTATGCTCCTTTCACAATTTCCATTTTTGTTCTCTTCCCCTCCACACACTAAATGCTTGAAGAACAAACGAAAAAGAAAAAGAAAAAGAAATGTCTACATGGGTTAGCCGACCAGTTGACGAGGGCAATGAATCCGTGAATCCGTTTCCTTACACTTAAGTTCGAGTTTATTTCCTCGTAAATTAATCCCTGGTTTGCATTAGACCAAATCACCCAACGACAGCATTGTGTTTGGCCCCCTTAAAACGACAACCCAACTGCTACTGCCGGTTAGACTGTCATTATTCAAACAAAAAAGAAAAACAAAGAGATTAAAATAATAATAAAACCAGTGGGGACAAGACAAGGCCTGTCTTCTACGGGCCTTTGCTAAAGTGCGCCGTGGCGCGCATTCAACCACAGACCAACTTTCCCTTCTGCGTAAGGCGGAGGAGCGAGAGAAGGAGAGTTGGACAGCTAGAGACAGACAACCCATGAGGATGGATGATATGAGAGAGAGAGGTCGTACGAGTTTGGACCTGAGGGGGAGTATTATGCTGACATGTCACTGCCACATCTGTAGAGTTTTAATGCACTGGAGGATTATGGGGCCCACTCCGTGCGACAGTCCACGAAATCTCTGTCGTTTTGGGGTTTCTGAGTTCATCCCGAAGAAACTCTCCTTTTAGTCGACTCGGTGTTTATAAAGGGCGGATCTCGTGACACGTGTACGTGCAGGATCGGGGAGAGCTGAAAAGGGACCATACACCACCCGACAATTATCTGAAAACACATCGTTTCAAAGCTGTGCCGTGGGCCCGTGACTTTCTTTCTTTCTTTCTTTCTTTCTTTTTTCTTTTTACTTAGAAGAATGTCGGGCTCACACTCATATCATATGTATGACGCAACCCAACTAAAACCCAAGAGATGTATTATTAGTTGTTACCTTCAATTTGAGTTTCCTTTAACCATTCAAACATGACCAAATTTGGAGCTGGATTGAATTTTTAGCATCCCCCATTTTACTTAAACACACATTTTTTACATCCACAAATAAGAAAATGCTAAGAGTCATACGTCACTCGAATGAAAGCAACTCTCAGCCGTCTATACATTACTTCTAACCATCCAAACATATCAATTTTTTGAGTTGGATTGAATGTTTAGCATACCTAACCCCAAATTGTACTTAATGAAACATAGATATAATTCACAAATGAGAAATGTAAATAACAGTCGCTCTCTCGTGTGCAAGCCACTGTCCCAAACACAACTCCACAAAAAATTGGCCCTGAAGTATTATATCCATGGGAAAAAAAACCCTCAAGTTGACATAAATCTTGATATCAATGCTCATCCTCAGACTATGAGTCACAATTTTTTTATTTAAGGTTTTTCACACACACACACGAGTAAAGTGCCATGAATTTCAAACATGAAATCATTAATCTATAAATCAAAATTCTTGTTCTATTGAGTTAGACACTGCTTGTATAAGTTACAAATTAAAACCCTCCTTTTGTAGGTACAATTACCAGAGCGTTGTGTAAAAAGTGAATACAAATTGGGCCTAAAGGGGTAAAAAGTGTTCCAACTGGAGAAATAATGTTCAATTTTCTGGTGAAAAGTCTTGGACAAAAGTATTTAAATGGCACAAGTCAAAGCGCGCAGAGAGGTTGCTTCCTTTGTTTGTTATGGTTGGTTTGGTTTGGCTGAGTTGAGGGTGGTGACCATTTTCAGCAAGTGGTGGTGTGATGGAGGAGGGACCATTGTCCATTGTACCAGAGATTGGTACATTGGCTATGCAGCAGCAGCAGATAAGAATCTGACTAATAAGAGAGATACAAAAGTAGCAAAAAGCTTTCAAGAGAGTCAACCGAAGATCCAATCCAATTCAATCCCATTCAATAGTTAATGGTTGCACGTGAACATCGTGCTCCAATTGATTGCTAGGTTGAGCCCAACACTCACATTTTGCTTACAAGTAAGGAGATATTCTTTTTTACTTGATAAAAATAAAAATTACAGTTTGATATATTTGCATAGTCTTTTCTTTTTGTCTTTTAACAAGTTTTTTTTGTATCCGCATGTAATTTGCGTTGCGTGAGTGCTAACTGGCATAATAATCCAATTAAAGAATGACGTGTTTAAGAAAAACAAACATATCATCAAATTTTTATACATATCATATCACTTAGTGTTTAAGCTTTTATCTCGCACTATCACACGCATATTTGACGAGGAGGAAGTTTAATAAACAAAATTAATAACTCTAGGATTATGATTTTAATATGTACATAGTATACAAACACAAGTATGTCAACACACAACCAGCCAAGGGCCGTGTGGCCGCTGCCTCCCCTTTGTCATCTGTGCTGGATTCTTTCTTATACCCTTTCGTTGAAAGTTGGAACTCTCTAATATTCATAATTAATATGTTTTTATTTTTATTTTAATATCATCATTTTTATGTTTTCCTGCGTGTGTTTCCGACATCTCATTGTGCTTGCTTAATGTTGAAAGTTTATTTTATTTTATACAAGCGATATTGGGGAGGAGGGAATCAAACTTAGAACATCAGGTGCGGAGATAAATACTCTTAACCACTTAAACTACAAGCTCCTTGCTAATGTCCAATGCTCTCTAATCGCACTATTTTATTCATCCTATGTTTGCATCCTTTTGGTTTCTGACCCCTTGAAACTTTCTTTAGTGTCACTAAAAACCCGTTAAACACAAATGCATTAGTTTATGTTGCTTTTGATTGCAAGGAGAATTTGGATTTCTTCAGCTAGCTTTATGTCATTGGAGCTATAAAGGCTTACACACTAAATAAATATTATTTATTGCATTGCCGATTTTACAAGAAAAAGGTCAAAAAAGAAACAAAACAAGAAGCAGAAACACATGCTATATGGATCATAAGGGTTGACCCCAATACACATGCTTGGGATCATTCACTCTCTTTTCATTATCTACACGCCTATCATACTTTACTATTGTCTATCTCATTTCTCCCTCTAAAAGTTATTGAAGTAAACTTAGTGAGTTGATTCTCGGCCCATGCCCTTAATGTATGGCCCAGCCCATTATAAACAATGGACTAGAGTTGATCACTAACATTTTACGCCCAATAAAACAAGGAAAGCAAAATACATGGGAACAAGTCCAGAAGCCAAAATATATGGGAAGGAACGATCAAAACTTAGACTATCATGAAAGAAGGAAGCAAGTAAAACGGAGAATAAGCAAAACTGCACTCACATATAGTTAGGGCTGCAATACTTCTTCGAGTGTGCGTACAAAGATTCTCAAATTTTTATCTGATATGGTTTTGCTTTTTAGGTTTATGTGGTTTTGAGGGCATTTGAATCTTTTTATATGAGTTTTTGGTAATTTTTGAAAGTTTTTGAAAAACATCGATATTTATGAAAGTAAGAGGCAAATTTTAGCTATTTTTTATTTTATAAAAACTTGAAACTCACACACAGAGGTACCATGAGGGCTCGAACCCATAACCATTTTGAAGCAAACTAAAGGCATGGATCAATCCAACTAAGTCCAAAGAGGTTGTTTGCTTGCTAAGAATAAGTTAAAAACTTCTATGAGATGGGCCTCTAAATTATGCATCTCTCTAGCTTTCTCATCTCCTTACAAAATTTCATCCATACTAGTAGAAGTTGTTCATAAAGTAATTTTGTTTCAAGAAACTCACATCACATGATGAGAAAGATGAATACCCAAAGTTATAAGACCATGACATTAAAGTATTTCTCAACAATTGCAGAGTTGATCTTAATATGCATAGTTGTACTCGTACCAATAATTCCATTTGCTGACTCAGGTCAATCTTGTTTGCTTTCAATCAAATTGGGTTAGCGATATAGAATTGGTACATCACAGCCGCACATAGTGGTCAGTGGATCACCTCAACTCAATAATGTGCACATGCAGCAGATGGCTTGAGTAAATGAGCTCATGATCATATAGATATGATATGAAAAATTGTATTGAAAATTAGCTCATCAAAGGTCAGTTGAAGACAAAATTGAGTCATATATATGTATATATATGTTCACCTTTTTTTTTTCTTTTTCTCTTGTGGTGGTTTTGTTTGTATATATAAATTCAGATCTTGTTCTGTTTGGTGGCCTTCTGGGGAAATATCACGTGAGCCTTGGTGAATCTTTGGAGCCTTTTACCTCAACCATTCTCTAAAAATACATCAAGTCTACAACAAAAGCCCCATTAGTAGCAACGGGTCTAGCCCAGTGAAAAAAACTTTGACTTGCAGACCAATCATCTCAAGTTCGAACTCCAATAACACCTTGATAGTGTGTGTGAGAAAATCACCCTCCCCAATATCGTTTGTGAAAACAAGGCCCCATTAGTGTAAAAATACATCATATTATTCCTCTAAAACTAAAGTCTAGTCTCTTTCCTAAATTTAAATTGGACTTGTGTCCTCCCAAATCATAGAAGAGTTTCTTTAGCTATTGTTTTTTAGATAATATTTGTTTTCTTTTTTGGATTACTTCAAATATCATGACTTTCATTCTACGTACTAATTTTAAATATAATTTGTACTTTTGTAAACATTCATCTATCGAATGAGAGTACAAGACTCATTATGAAAATCAAATAAGTTTTTATGCAAGAGAAATTGGATTAAAATTCTTAACAAACTCTTCATCATCTTTCTTCAGAATCTTATTTGCATATTTGTTGAACACTTCAACAAGAAGTTTGAAGAATATAAAGTCTAATCGGTTATTTTTTGGGTTAAGAATTTTTCATCAAGCAAAATATCAGAGAACGGGAAATCAAACACAAGACGAGACCGCGAGTCCAGGGTAAATGCTCTACTACACTCTAATTTTTGGTTTAGCATAAGATGCCTACAATTAAGGGTACTCTAATTTTTTCTCCTTCCTTCCCTTAAAAGTTTTTCCCTCGATGGAGGTAATGACTGCTCTGGACCGATAGGGCAACGACCTCTTATTCCATCATGTACACAAAGAACATAAAAAATAAATTATAAATAAAAGCAATAAAACAGAGACAAGAAAGGTCTCTCAGCTAAGAGGACTGTTCTCATTTTCAAATATAATGAAAGAAATGACTACCCCTACTATATGGTTTCCTACTGGGCCGAGGATAAAATTCCCATAGTAGCCCCCTGGCAACCCTTGTTTCTCAACTCTATAACCTTCTTGTGGGAGTTGGAATGGACCGACGCAACGAATGTAGGACTTGCAGCAGGGCGGTACTCCGGAAAGAGACGGCCAGACCTATAACGAACCCCGCACGCATTGCAGAGGGTCTTTGGTCCTAGTGGCCCTTCCCTCCACTGAGGGGTCTTCGTCACTGCACAGTGCATGCATCTTTTAGTCTCCCGACTCTCACCTGGTTCCTCCTGGGAGAGCTTTCTCATCTCTGCACTTGAGAGCTGCGATAGATTCCTTTTCTTCTTTTGTTTTCTTTTGGCAGCGTTCGACATCTCCTCAGTGAGAGAGCCTTCTAAGTCTGATTCAGAAGCATCCCAATGATATAAATTTTCAGAGGCAGAGGAGTTGGATGAGGTGCTGGGAAAGAACTGAGTATTGAAAATAGCAGGGCTTGAACGCTTGCTTCGTGAAAGCTTGCTTCGGGTACGCTTTTCAAACTTGGGCTCAAATTGAGCAGCACAAGAGCCAATACTTTCAAGGTCCTCGCTGCGAATACTGCTTATTCCTCGGGTAGTTTTAGCAGCAGTCCTTGGTAATTGATTTCGCTGAGAAGTTTGTCCATACTGAAAGCAAATCAAAGGACAATCGGAATAACCAAAAGAAATAGATGAGAGAAGGACCAATGTTGCATTTATTACATAAATTCTGGCTAGAACAATAATAAACCCCAAGTTTCTTCGCAAGAAACGAAACAAGAAAAAGGCAAGCAAATTTAAGATACCAAGTACAAATGAGGTATCCTACCATTCCTAAACATAAAACTCAGTGAGTTTTCATATGTGTTTCACCATCAACTGCACGGAGGTTATAACTAATTTATATGGGCCACAAGGCCATTATGCAGAGGTTGAGTCTTCTCAAGAATAAGATAAAAATTGAACACCATCCACATTGATAGACTTAAAGAAAGCTTCAAAGCAACAAAAGACCCTATTTTAGAGTATAATCTATATGAAAAACGAACACCAGTCACCTTAGTCCTCTTAGAATTGTAAAATTAGAGCTGAAATCTTCAAGTGGAGCCTAAAACTTTTTTGAGATAAATTGCAGATGCATAATAAGCAGTTTTCTCTAATCAAATACGTATATCTTATATAAATCCTGCCAACCACAAAAAGCCTAGATGTCTAATTCATCATATCCTTTTATTTGTTCTATAAAAAAAATCAATACTGACTTAATGTATGGTTCTGATTCTTGTACATTACAAACCATAAGGAAAGACCCTAATACCTAAATCACGAAGTGAAGAAACAATAGTCTGTTATGCATGTCTTGTATGTGCAAGATGCATTGGTTAAATCTAGTCTCAGAATATACTCTGAGCCTCATTCCATCAAAGTCAGCCAGTAACACCATATGATTTACATCCTTCGAGGATAAGTTCAACTTGCAGGAAGCCAGTTTGGGTGGTGGAAATACAAGAGCAGGCATGAAAACTCAACTACATAACAAAAAAATCCTATATAATGGAAGCTGTGATGACATGCCAGAGATATATACTTACTTCTATCTTCTTTCAAAGCATACCTATAGTATCTTATCAAAAGAAAAATATACAAATAGTAGGCTTTCCATCATCACTACACTTTGCCTAACCATAATGTTCATAGTACATTAAAAGGGTAAGGTGCATTATTCAAGCATTTGACAATAACTAGTTATGTATACTTTTTGTATCCCATATGAATAAAATTGCCGATTATATACATCACTTAGTCACAGTCTTCCTCGAATATTATATGCCATAGTGCAAAGCAACATGCAGAGACAAACTAACTAGGGGCCCGTTTGGGAGTGCTTCTAGAATAGTTAAAAGTGCTTTCTAACAACCAAAAGCGCTTCTGATAGCATTTGGCAGAAATGTTTAAAAGCGCTTTTAGGCCATAAAAGCGCTTTCCGGAGAAGCACCTGTCATGTGCTTCTTCAGGAAGCATTCCCAAGCGCTTTTCCAAGAAGCACTTATGTTTCTTATGAAAATTTCAACGTCTTTATAATAAAAGTGTTTTTGGTAAAAGCGCTTATAAGTAGAAGTGCTTCCTAGAGAAGCACTCCCAAACGAGCCCTAGTTATGTATGGAAGAAAAATTGTCAAAACCAAATGCTGGGCTCAACCATCAATCATATTAGCAGAAACTATTCAACACAACGGTGCCATGCGAAACTACTTAATAGAGGCAAGTACCTTTTCACAGTAAAAACAAAATATAATGAAAACCCTTTAAGGGGCAGAAGATAATAAACTCACCGAAGTGGAGAGGTTCTTAGGTTTCATGTCGTCGTTACCATCCAAAACTCTTGGACAAAACAAATCTTCAAAGGAAGGTGGTTCGAGGTTTTGGAATTGCGCATACCAATCTTCGTCTTCAACACACTCTTCAATATCTTCCATGGGGAAATCAAGAGCCTTGAGTTCGTCAGGGAGGAAGCTCTCGATATTGAAATTATCATCAGTGGGCATAGAACTAGCCATGGCACTAATATTCTGTTTACAGTGGCAAAAAGGCAACAAAGGAAGCAAACGTTAATTAAGAAGACTCTAAGGCATACTGACAAACAAGTGAGCATGCAATTCGCTTGTTATATATAAAGTTCAAAACAATAAAACAAACTCAAAAGGAAGAGATATCTTAGTGAGAAGTCAAAAAGGAAAAGCTATCTCAGGGATTGGATTGGATTGGATTATTACGTAATTACTTATCAACGTGGGATTGCATTATACAGACGGGTTTGGGCCATAAATTCACAGGAAAAAGGGTTTTGATTGGGTAGAAAATCGTCATTAATTGAAGGTTACCCTAATTAGGACTCTGAATATTCTATTATCCAATTAATTTCTTCATTAATGTTGAATTGGAAACAAAGCACAAAACTGGAAACGTCCTTTTTCGGCTCGGTACTTTCAAAACCAGCAACGTCGCCGTTTTACCATGGCAGAGACTACTAGAGCAAAATGAGAAAGAAAAAAGAAAAAACAATCCTCGTATTCCGGATTCCCAAAGCACCCTGTTTGGCTTCTGAGAAAATGCCGGGAAAAATAAAATTGCTAGAAAGGCAAACAATAATTCACATTGCATGGAGATTAAACAATTACAGTCTCAGTCCAACAACTAGCAGAATATTCAATTTCAAATAAATTCAAAAAAATTTAAAAAAATAAGCGGAAAGTAATGGGGGCTTTTTTGTTTTGTTGTTTACAATTCAATTTTCTGGCCAACCAAACAAAGTAGAAACCAAGGAAAAGAGAGAAAATGCAAATACAAGAGAGAAGCAAACTGCGAAGGCAAACCTCTGAAAAACCCTAAAACCGGCGAATGAAAACATCATTCACGAAGAAGAAGAAAAATGGTAAAGAAGATAGAGGGATGGGAGTGTTGGACCTCACGCTTCGTTAGCTTGGTGACGTCAGCAGAGACCGCCGTCATTGTCTTGTCACAAGAACCTAAGTGAGAGAGGGAGAGAGAGAGAGCTGTTGGCTGTTTGGTTTTGGTTGTTGCAGAGAGGGGGAGGGGGAGAGAGAGAGGGAAGGGGAGAGAGAGAAAGACAGAGATAGAGATATAGAGATAGAGAGAGAGAGGAGAAGGAGAAGAAGGAGAAGATGGCTTTCTGAGCCCCTCTTTGCCTTTGTCTGAGATTGGAATTTAGGTTTTCTTTTCTCACCATGAGTAGGGGGGTTACTGTGTGAAGCTGCCCATGCGTTTTTACAGTGAGGTCTCACTTCCAAATTAGGTTCAGATTCTGTTCGCTTCATTCAGTCAACGTCCACAACGTGCGTAGCGTACTTTTAAGTTTTTCAGTTCAAAGTATTTGCAAACACTACGCTTCAATTTTAGTATTATTATTATTATATGCTCAAAATTCCATTTATATCACTTCAAAATATCACTATTATTCTCCAACAAAATCAATTATTTGTTTCTTTTTCTTCTGAAATGAAATCTTTAGCAAAAAGGAGAGAAAACTAAATTATATATTTCGAGGAGGAGCTTCTTAGATTTTGATTCAATCCTTACCGACCCACACATTGTCATTGTTAATGAGAACCAAGGGATCAAAATTGTTGTGAGAATGTGTACACACTTATTATGTGTAAGTTATTTTTTTCTTCATTCTGTCTCTTATTCTCAAAATCTTGGCCGTATCATGTCTTGTTCGACCTCATGAATAATCAGGCTATAACCACGGCGCCTTGGTCTTAGATTACAGTAGCCTGACCATGGAGCTTTTTTTTGGGTTTCCTTCAAGAAGTTCGAAACAAACTTAAAAAACAAAATGCAAAAGATTTTTAATTTTCTTTTAAGATTTAGATATAGAGCAATAATAAAATCAGATCATGCAATATAGTATAGTCTAATAAGAAGCGTCGGTGGCTGTGATACGAATTCAAATGAGGAGGTGGCAATGTCACATGTGGGCCTTAATTTTTTAATGGCATCAAACATCACCATCACTGCCACCACTCAACTCAACCACTGTATATGTATCACCGACGATTGGGGAACATTCTTATTTTATTTATAATTTTTGGTCAAATATTTGGGGGAACAAAATTCAAATCTTGCAGTTGCCATCCCTCATCTAACAAACTAAATAAAAAAATAAAAAATAAAATAAAAAATTCAATCGAAGTCAGTAATTTTATGAATCTTTGATTGGATCTTTTTATTTTCTTCCATATTTCCTTGCTACTAGGAAAAACCAACTTGGGTTCAAAGGAAAAAACTCTTCTTTTTACATTCCCCATCACCATAAAGTTTGAGTTTCTACTTTAAACTACCTTTAAGCAACACCCATGGGCCACATATACAAGTCATAATCTTTTTCAATTGCATCAAAATGTAGCCTCTTAATACAATGATGAAACCCAAATGATTGGTTTTGGAGAAAAAAATACATACCAGTTTGGCTACGAAAGGGATGCAATTTGTAAGTTGTATCCAACTCTTTCTTCATGATAACAACACCAACCATAGAAATTAAATTTGTCCCCTTCTTTTCTGGGGTTAGGTTAGGCTTCAAATGTGCTCTGTCTAGACTGATTCAACCACAAAATCAAAAGACTATGACAAATCAAATAGAACCAAGGATTAAACTAGAGTAAAGTAGTTCCCTTTGTTTTCTATTTACTTGTATTTGTTTTTTTTTTTCCCAATAGTTTTGAAGCATGTGATGCTTACAGTTTATGAAGATGTATATTCACATTTTAATTTCTGACATCCAAAGAAACAAGGCCGAAAGGAGTAAAACAAGAGTCATGCCTAACTAGAGGACTTTCCAAAATGACATTGACTGCAATATGAGCTGTTCAATGTACTCTCCCGCTTCTCCTGCAATTTAGATACAGTAATTAAAGGAATTAAGTACCTATGAAGCACTCAGACAGTGTGCCATAAACGAGAAAGACTTCCATGAAATGGGGATAACACTATTTTGCTATCCCCGGCCAATAACGCTATAACACTTCCACGTCGCATAGCATTGTTGGCCGGGGATAGCAAAACAATGTTATCCCCATTGCAACTAAGTTTTTCTCGAAATAAAGGGTCATTAAAAAAAATTACCTGTCATCAAAGCATGTAAACCCTTAGCTGCAGAGAACACTGGAATATGCTATGGTCAGACGTCCAAGCGCGTGTGGTCAACTAACCTTAGCAAAATCCATACAAATTTACAGGTCGGCATGAACAGCTAAAACAGATGAAACAGACACGTTGGCTTGTGATGTGACCAAAGTATACCAATCATATTGAAAGGTTATTACGTAGAAAGGTAAGAAAATAGGATCAGTTTTATCATTATGAACAGAACATGTAAAAAAAATTAGTAAAATATGATTAAGACTTTAGCACCACACAAAACACTTTCATGTATGTATATAAAAGAAAATAACTGTATACATACTTTGTAACAGGTGGCCACTATAGAGAAATTGTCAGTTCATATCTGCAGGTGGACAGGCAAGATAAAAGCTTGGTACAAAATATGAATATCTAAGAGTTATTGTCACTGTGCAATGAACCCAAGCTGCTCTCATGTTGGAGAAACAGTCAGGAAAAGATTTGGACAATGAAAATAACCATGATGCTGCCATAAATCCCTTTGAGGTCAAGCAACCATCTGGGAACTAACAAAGGTGAATGCCTAAAACAGGATTTCTGTATTTTAAAATCTAAGGCATCATATACAATTACCAACAACAATCTGCTATTTCAGTCCCAAAGCCCCATTACAATAGAATTTACAAGTTGTGGTTAGATGAAATTCCTCACCTGGAAACCATCTGAATCCTTTCAAAACATGAACACCTACAAAAAAGAATTCAATTTATGAAACCATCATATAGCATTTTCTTCCACCACAATTATATTTTCAGTTCACAAGCCCGTTTTTGACAAAACTAAAAATTCATGGGTGAATGTACATTTATCAATTGGAAGAAAAACAGACACAATACATATATTTTATGCATCCTGCCACGCAGGTATGATGTATGTATATATGTATGGAATTGTGCACTGTGGTAACAAATTTTTGCATTATAAGCTTGCATTGTTTGCAAGGGTATTGTAAGCATATTCATAAAGCTCAAGATCGAGGTGGTTACGTTGCCCTATCTGCTGGAGAACCAGTTTAGGAACCTGAAGTTATGCCTATAATATTTTAAAGGTCAATTTCCATTGCGAGAAAAGAAAAGAAAAAAACATAAGAGAGAGCTCAATTTAAGCAAGCCAACAAAGGTGAGCACTGAGCTGTAGCAACTCAACACTGACACAAAATTAAAGTGCCTAGAAGGAAGTTCACAAGGCAAGAAGCAAACAAGGGGAAACTGCTATATAATACTTTGACTATCTCATAAATTGGATATGTTCTAGATATATTGTGCATCTAAACCAGAAGAGAGAGCAAGTTCGAGAAAAAATGAATGCTGTGCACACACATGAATGAATGTTGCAAAAGATAATTTATCGTACTAGCTAGTTTGGAGAAACTAGAAATTTAAGGCTACCTCCTTTGAAAAGTTTTCATGGGGAAGATTCTCTTTAAAGAAGAGGTGTGCTTGCGTGTTTGGGCCTCCAGTAAATTAGAAATGCAGTCTTCATACGCTTCCATAGGTTGTCCCACAGTCATCTAATATCGTGGTAGAGAGGATCAAAGTCAGCATTCTGAAAGTGGGAAACAGATCAACTCCCATTGTGTCAATATCCAAAATGGTTTACATCTTCGTTGACTAGTTCAACAGTCTCAAGTGAAGCAGTCTCACTTTCTTTTCATGTGAGGTGCTGTTGTCTCATTTGAGAGAACAAAGCGCAGCAAGAAAGCTACTAAAACCAATATTCAAATCCCATCCAGGTGGTAATGATGAGTTTTTCTAATTACCTGAAGGTCATTGTCATTAGGCTTGGAAACTGAAGCTGAGCAGATATGTTCTAATGAATATGTTACCCAAACAACTATGCACCATTAAATTCTCTAATGCTAACAAAGTTCTGTCTTAATGCATCAAATTTGAAATGCATGTTCTCTACTTTATTGTGTTCTCAGCGGTAAAACAAAACAGAACATATACATTTGCCTGTTTATGAATTTCTACTCCTGCTCAAGATAAGATAACAGAAATGATAAATAGATGCCGCACTGACCAGATTTGCTGTTAGCAGCACTCTGTTACTAGAATTTGATCCCCGGGCACCAACTACACATGTGCAAGCATGGCTGCAGATTCTCCAACATATACATACATAAATACATCTACATTTGCAAACATACTTGCAGGCACCAATTGCATTTGCAACAATGGTTACAGATTCTCCACCATGCATGCATGCATTTGCATACATCTACTAATCTACATTTACGTGCACACAGACATACCAACATGGAATTATGGAAAATACTACTAAGCCCAACCATTTCTCCAAGCCCAAATGGCACATGATACGCACTCCACATCTTGCATTAAAAACACTACAATGTGATAGAATCTAAAACTTGAGAATGACCATAAGTTGGGGAAAATAGTTGGACTATATAGCATTGTCCTGCATGCATAAAAACTCCTTTGGGGTAGAATCCACACACCTTATTTCTACTCCAACCATTGCTAACCAACAAAGAAACATTGGCATTCTCAGAAAGTGTATAAGAAAAAACAATAGCATTCATAAACTGACAAAATGAGCATGATAAGAATTTATTTAGTTTTATTCGCTCCCAAATTTTCCTGGAATTTATTTCTTTTCCTTTCAAACAAACAGGATTAGAAGCCAAAAACCCAAAAAATGGAAAACAGAGAACATGCATTTTCGACATTAGGAGTTGAGGTATGGAAATAGGCAAACTTATAAACATTCAGAAAACCCTAACGAGCAGAGGTACAAGAAGAGAGCGAGAAATTCACAGACAGGAAGAATAAAAGAGGCGAATGGAATAGAACTCAACGAAATTGGAGGTCTCGTGGTCATAGACAGTGGTGGGACTCAAGCAGACAGCGCGGAAGGTCAAAGAGGTCTGAGCCCCCACCATTTGGAACCTTCCAGTCCAGAGAAACTGAAAAGGGCGGTGCCTGGTTTAAAATTTTCTCAGCAACCAAACAGGTTTAAAAATTAAAAACGTTTTCTTGTAGCTTGACATTAAAATTTTGTTTTTTAAATTCATTAAAGCACTGACTAGGCTCATCATGCACCATGACTAACAATGCTTTCATAAAAATAAAAAAAATAAAAAATAAAAAGGAAAATTTTAGCTTCAATCAAGAAAATCTATAGTAATTTAGAGCTGGTAAGAGTATTTGTTTGCACATGACCTCGGTTTTATTAATATTTCATAAAAACGTTTCGCCGGGCGGCTATACCCATATTGACATGCTTTGTTTTTTCAAAAATTGTATAGCCGGGCGGCTGTACTTGTTGACACGTGTCCTCTAGGCGCTAAGTGGTTCTTTTTTTAATATATATAAATAATATAGCCGGCGGCTATACCCCTTTTTTAGTTTTTTCAAAAATAGTTTCGCCGGCCGGCTATACTCGGTAATGTTTCATAAAAATAGTATAGCCGCCGGCCATACTTATTTTGACACGTGGGCGCCTAATCACTCATCTTTTGTATTTTTTTATAAATAGTCTAGCCGGTCGGCTGTACTCGATTTTTAAATTTCTTTTTTAAAAAAGTGATATAGCCGAACGGCTATACTCTGCTTATTCTTGTTTTTAAAAAATAGTATAGCCGGTCGGCTATACAGGTTTTACCAAATGTTTTTTAAAACAGTATAGCCGCGCTCTTTTTTTTTTTGGGGACACGTGTCGCTTAGGCGCTAGGCGGGGTTTTAAAATATGTATATATATATATATATGAAAATTATAGCCGGGCGGCTATACCCGGGTTTCTAAATTTTTTCTAAAAAATTAGTCTAGCCGCTCGGCTATACTTGGTTGGGAAAACAGTATAGCCGCTCGGCGATACTGATTTCGTCACATATCGCTGGGCGCGTCCTCTTTTGTTTTGTTTTGTTTTTAATAAATAGTATAGCTGTGCGGCTATACTCGATTTTTTAAATTTGTTTTAAAAAATAGTATAGCCGAACGGCTTGACTGGGTTTTTTTGTTTTTTTGTTTTTAAATAGTATAGCCGGCAGCTATACACACACACACACACACACACACACACACACACACATATAGTGAGATCCTTTTCGTCTTTTAAATTTTTTTCCCCGATTTTCATTTATCGATAAGAGTAGTTTAGAGCATTATCCATTACTATTAGGCCATTACCCGAGCGTATTGTCCCTTTTTGATTTTTTTACTTTTTCAGAGTTATTAACCATATAAAGAATTTAGCACTTTCACGGTTAATAATGTATTATACACGTATGTATTTTATTCGAATTTTTCCCATTCTGTATTTTACTAACTATGAATGAGTGTGCATGAAGCTTTGTTTGCAAGCAAGGTTCCATTCAAACCAGATCCAGGATTAATATCCTGGGGCACTCGTATGACACCAATATTTGGATGTTGAAGCTCAGAACATCCAGATAGATAGTTCATATGCATTATTAATAGCTGTTGAGCATGCGCAATTTGGGACTGAAGCCTGCTCTGGTGGATCTCCAGGAAATGATTCCTACATCATGTCACTACCTCCATCAACTTCTTCATTTGCTTCATCCAAGCTTTTATGTTTAGAGTGGTCTATGTAAAACCACTTCCACCACAACTTTTTACTTTTGAGCTGATATCTGCACACTTTTTACTTTTGAGTCGAGCTAAAATTCTGAGAGGTCACTGCACCTGTGATTTGAACTTCATCCATACGGTCCAATTTCAAAGAAAGCCTTGACAATGAAGCTGAAATTCCTTCCTTAGCTGTGAGTCCAGGGTATCTCTCAACCACTGTTTTGTTGTTTTCAGATACTGATGCAGTATTATACACATCTGGGACTCCACTACTTCTAATTCCCTTCTGCAGGCACCAGTTCCTTCTGGTTCTTTTGAATTGACATTGAAGAGAATTTTTCTGCTGGGATTCTTCAGGTAAAATACTGAATCCATCCAATACACAGTCATTTAAGCGCAATTTATTTTCCTGGAAAACCTGTTCTCCAACACAGCAGGATATCGGAAGGTCTAGTTGTTCGGTATTTTCGTTTCCACAATCAGTTGTCACCAGTTGACAATTTTCTATTTGCTCCGTATTCACCAGGCAACGCGAAATCCACCGAGGTCTATCTACTGATATGTAGAGAGGATCAACAAGCGGCGTCAAATAGTGAACTCTGTGGATAAACTCAGGCCCAGTCCAAAACTTATGTTCCTGTCCTCCCTCCAAAATATTGTGGTAATCATTAATGAAAACTTTATTGAGACCTAAGTTAGAATTAAATTATTTAAAGATATGCAAGAGAAATTAGACACTCAACATACAATGACAAATGCAGTGCAAAGTCATTCCAACCTTATTTTCTGAAGAGGCGATAAGTAGGCTAGATCATATATCAGAGCAAATGGCTTAACTTTAAGAATAAGGAAACAACAATGTTTTATCTTGTTCACGATTTGCTAAAAGCTTTCCGTGATAAAAAGAACTTGTTTGCTGTGCTGTATATGCAATTAGAAGACTATAACCTATTATCACTAATTAATTATAATACTGCTGTTCTCTCCAAAAAAAAAAAAAAAACATTATAATACTGCAGTAATCGTTATAAGTATTAATTTCAAGCTAATGAACCACCAAAGCATCCATGCTATGCACATAAAAGAGATGCTTATCCTTTTGTTTGGACAAAAGGGAGATGCTTGCCCGAAATGAATAGATTTATGTGATACTATCAACTCAGTCAAGAACAAAGTATGAAACCAGGAATGTTTCAGCAAAAGTAGACTTGTTCAATGATTAACCATCTTTCTCAAAAGCTTTCTTTCCTTTTTCTTTAGATACCATTTTCCATGATTGAACAACTAGCTCCGATAAGTAACTGAAAGAAATGCTCCCAACAATTTTTATTAAGCACAATGCAGAACACACACAAACGCAATCCAACAACACAATCTTGACAGATAAACTATATGACCTGCAACTGTTTGTTTTCAAATATTATGAAAAATCAGATGGTAGGTACAACTATTGATGTATTCATCCATGGATTGTCGATCCCCATTCAATCAATTAGGTGGGACCTTAAAAATAATATTCTATCATGGGTCAAATACACATATATGCCAAAAGTTTATGTACATCAGTATGATATCTTCCAAATCTCAACATTCTGTCAGGTGTGTAAAACTTCTCCAACTAATCTTAAATACAAGATGCCAATTATTTCAGAATTAAAATTGTGTAAGAAAGAGGAAATGTCAATTGGACTTCCTAGTCTAGTTCCTTTCCTTCTAGATTCTTCTACAGTTACCCTATTTCTAGTCTAGTACTACAAGAAACACTATTGTTTTTCACCATCCTGTGCATCATGGATAGACATTAGAGGCTCAATCCACACCACTTTTCCAAAACCAAGAAACTATCAGATAAGCAATTGAATTTCTCATATCTAATTGGTGACCCACAGACACCAAATCATATCTAATCAGATATATTTTCTAAAAATCCAGCTTAATAAAAAAAATTAAGTTAAATAGTAAAAATTAAAAAACAGATGATTTGATAAACCTGTTTTTTGAGCCAATTTCGCAGCTTAGGAACTTCCTCCACCAATCAAGATTTGGTCCGTCGAATCTCCACCTTCTTTGCAACCGCCACAGCCCGGTTACTCACCCTTCTCGGCTTTCTGCACATTTCAGCACACAATCAAACACCAAACACCAAACACTCGAACCTTTCTGTTTCCCCTTTCTCTCCGTTCCTACATTTTCTCGGCAACCAAACAGAAATAATAGAATGAAGAACAGAAGCGATTCAACCAAACCTGAAGAGCGGCTCAGAATTTTGTAGTTGACGCGAGCGCAGAGACGAGGGAAGGCATCGTCGCCGTAAGGGTTGCGGTGGCGCTGCTGCTTCTCGATGTCGTACTTATCGTATTTCTTGCACATTGAGTCGACTCGGCAGATGCTCATTCTTGTTTCCTCTCAGAATGAGAAGAGAAGATCTAAGATCGCCGCATTAGAGAGAGGGTGAGAGAGTCTCGTCTCGTCTTGACCAGGCATTGCGTCTCTCTGTGCCTGTTAGAGAGAGGGTGAATCTACTGACGGGTTTTTCATTTTTGGAGAAGGTAGTAGAACACGACAGGGTGACATCATTCACTTTTTTTTTGGCGGGTACACATCCCATTGGACATTTCCGCCTGCCCACCCTTTCTTAAAATCTCAGAGGCAAATTGGATAAATTGCGAGTCTGGAAGCCGAGCTTTGATTTGGTCTCATGACTTGCGGTTGCTTCTTTTAAAATTTTTCTCTCTCCTTTTGCTTTTTCTAAAATGTCCCAACTTAATATGAAGAGTGCTAGAGTGAACAAAGAAAAATGTGAGGTTTAAATAGAAAATCTCTATATCTTAGCAAAGCATTGTGTTTAACCAGTGAAGTCGACCGCTTCGAAACCGCAAGTCATGAGACCAAATCAAAGCTCGGCTTCCAGACTCGCAATTTATCCAATTTGCCTCTGAGATTTTAAGAAGGGACATTTTAGAAAAAGCAAAAGGAGAGAGAAAAATTTTAAAAGAAGCAAAAATGGACAAAAATGCCCTTATTTATTTTTAGATTTCTTAAGGAATCCAATACATTTGCATGTCTTTGATTTGAAAGTTAAGCGGTTTTTTTGTCTTTTTTGAAAAAGCTTTGATTTTTTCCAAAAGTGAAATTTTTTTTATGTCTAAAACCTAAAAAACCTTATTAAGTTTTAGAAACCCCCTTACAACTTCCTGTTGACAAACTCTCTCTCTCTCTTTGTGAATAATACCTAAGTGTTACAATTCTAGTTATAGTTATTGGAGAGAGGTAAAGCTGTTCTCTTTCTCTAGAAAGTATTAAATTTCTGATTTTGGGTCTCATTTGTTTGTGTGTTTTTTTTTCCTAGAGACAAAGAAAATTGTGGGGTTTAAATGAAAAATCTCTTTTAGTTTTTTTTTTTTTTTTTTTTTTTTCCAGTTTGGGCTGTATTTAAAGGTAGTTTGGGAAGATAGTGGGGTTTTCTTATAAATTGTGAAAATTTAAATTAAAAGTTGGGGTGAACTAAGAGCATCTCCAACCGATGTGTCAAAAGTGGCACATAGACATTTAACGGCTAGAAATAACATATCATATTACTCCAACCGATATGTCAAAGCTGATGTGGAATGAAGGCTAGAGGTTGAGATGTTATTTTTGATATCCCAAAAGCAAGATGTCAAATGAATATTTTATTATTTTTAAAGATAGTTGATTGTTACTTTCATTTATTATTTTCCTTTTTATATTTTTTTCTTCTTTATCTTAAATGATTTGACTGTTACAATAATTATTTATTTGACATATCAGGTATAGTGTAAAACTGTGTAAATGTCAAATTGCCACATCAGCCATCAAATTTAAATTTGATATTTGGTATTTGACATCTCTCTTGGAGATACTCTAAGAGAAGTGTGAGGTTTAAATAGAAAATCTCATGATATATTGGGTTTTCGGGCCCTTAAATACTTTTACTAGCCCAAAAAATTATTTTAATTTTAGAGGTCGTTGTGGAATTTTTGTTTTTCATTTCTGTTTGGATTCCTATTTTTGTTAAAACTTCTTAAACTTCTACTGATAAACAAACTTGTGATGTCCTATACTTAAAAACGTTTTTTTATTTTTATAAAAGAAATAGTATCGCTGCCCAGCCATACATGGTTTTTTCTATTTTTTTAAAAAAAGAAATATTATAGCCGCGCAGCTATACTTGATTTTTTTAGTAGAAATAGTATAGCAAATGTACGATACTCATATTGAACATGTACATACGTATTATTTACAAAATTTTCAATAATACACACAAAATTCACATATTATATACATAATAAAAAAAAAAATTTTAAAAATATATAAAAATATTATGTAGTGGCTGAACTTTTATGTTGTAATATGCCAAAATTTTGCTGCGCAACTATACCAAATTAATATGTATAAACTAATGCAAGGGTCTTTTTTTCTTTTAATTTTTATAATAGTATAGCCGCGCGGCTATACTCGGGGTTTTCTAATTTGTTTTAAAAACAAGGGAGTTTCACTAAAACACCCAAAATGGGGGTTGAAATTATAAAAAAACCCAAGCACTATTTAAACATATAAGCACACCCAAAACCCATCATTACACACACTCAAAACCCATTTATAAACACACCCAAAAAGTTGACTTTGAGGTTGATTTTGGGTGTGTTTCTATGTTTAAATAGTGCTTGGATTTTTTTTATAAATACATGTCTAGGATTGGGTTTATTTATAAATTTGTATAAAAACAAGGGAGTTTCACTAAAACACCCAAAATGGGGGTTGAAATTATAAAAAAACCCAAGCACTATTTAAACATATAAGCACACCCAAAACCCATCATTACACACACTCAAAACCCATTTATAAACACACCCAAAAAGTTGACTTTGGGGTTGATTTTGGGTGTGTTTCTATGTTTAAATAGTGCTTGGATTTTTTTATAAATACATGTCTAGGATTGGGTTTATTTATAAATTTGTATAAAAACAAATAGTATCTCGGCACGGCTATACTAGGTTTTTAAAATGTTTTAAAAAGAAATAGTCTAGCCGCACGGCTATACACGGTGTTTTTTTGGACATCGCCATGTGGCAGAGAACTACACTTTGAATATATATATATATATATGAATATCTGAAAGGTATAGCCGCACGGCTATATATATACAAATATTTTAAGGGAAGAGCCGTGCGGCTATACTCGGTTTTCTTGGACATCCCTGTGAGGCGGAGAAGGGCTTTTTAAATATAAATGAATATTTAAAAGGTATAGCCGCGCGGTAGTACTGTATATATATTCGAATATTTTATCGATCAACCAACTGAAAATAGCACACAATTAAATTTCCTTAAATCCTTAAACTTCTATCGATCAACAACTTAAAACTGAATCGAGATGATCTTCTGACTTTGTGATGTCCTATTTTTGTCTTCAGGTTCTTTAGTTTGTTTTTAAAGGTCAAAAGACTCAAAATCTTTTCCATTCAGATTAATCATTGCAATGGTCTTTGAATTATACATTAATTTCAAATCAGCACTTTAAGACAAAACAATTAATTTTTTTTTTACAACCAATAAATCAGCACTTAATAAAAGATAAGCTCTTTGGTGTGTTGTTAAAATTCATCTCCCTTCACCTCCCCTTTTTGGTAGTTTTGGGGTGATACCTAAAACTACGTATCTCAAAATTATTTCCAACAACGCTTTTCTAGAACAAGATAAAGATAAGGTTTTTTAGGTTTTAGACATAAAAAAATTTTCACTTTTGGAAAAAGTCAAAAAAAAAAACCATCAATTCAAGTTTACAAAAAGTTTAAGAGGGACAAAGTTTTGATGAGTTGAAAGCTCAGGCACGCTTGGCGACATTAGATTTCACAAGCTTGTACATGGCCATGCCCATACACAGACCAAATAAAATCACCCTCCAGTTGCTCTTCCTCTTCGTCCTCCTCGTCCTCTTGACGCTCCTCGTCCTCCCCTCCCCGGTAATCAAAGTCTTTGAATCCTTCTTATAACAATCGATAGTCTGCCAACTATCCTCATCATCAAAACAGGCCTGCAATTACAAAGCAACTTTTTTTTTTTATTAAAAAAAAATGAAAGCAGATGAATTATCTTAGGATATTAATTAAAACACACTCTCCAAGCATATTAATTAAGCACCTGATAATTGGTGACGCAGATAATCTTGGTCTCAATCAAATTATCTCCCTTCTGAAGAAAAAAAATAAAATAAAAGTGATTTTCTTGAGCAACAAATCCCATATATATACATATAAAATATATATTATAAATAATGTATATACAGAGAAATTTTTTTGTTTTTGGTCAAGAATGTATATAAAGAGAATAGTAAACTCACTGCGGGAGTCGACATACTTTCCATGGATATCAGCTCTCAACGTATTTTGAATTGGGTGTTCCAACAAACAAAGCATGGATTGCTTATTATATTGTTCAAAACATATAAAGAAGAGTAGGGAGATAAAAGCAAAGAAGCTAAAATGGAAATATATCTCACGGATTGGATGCTCTCCTATTTACTAAGTGGCACATTGCAGTAAAAGGAAACTCTATTTATTTGGTGAAAATCTACATTCATTGAATGTTAGCCAAAACCTGGCTCTTAATTTTAATTCATGTTAGCCATTGTTGTTTGATTTCGTAGCAGTGAACTCTAATTTTGACATGCTTATGTAGAAATAACTTATGCTCACACGCATTCCTGTTAGAAATATACACTTCCTAGAAAAGCACTTGGCAACGCTTCTCGAGAAAAACACTTATACATTACTTATCCAAAAAGTGCTTCTCCTGAAAAGCACAAAAAATGTTTCTCCATATACAGCACAATTACATCTAGAATACATCGAACTTTTAGTTATTTTTACCAAACACTGCCCGAACCACAAAAAAAAGCTCATCATGCATATGCTCACAAGTGCATGCACTAATTATAAAACGTCAAGAGAAAACAAAACAACATAATCAAATCGCTCGAACAACAGTGTATGTTCTAAACAGTGCCCGAACCACACAAAAATAGGCTCATGATGGTTTTTGAGTATGCTCACAAGTGCAAGCCCAAATTTTAAAACTTTGACAAAACAAATTTTGGACAAAATAATGAGATCGCTCAAACAATAGTGTAGTAACACCTAATTGTTACTGAACATTTGTAGACAACCCCATCACACTATACTTTTGTACTATCATGACACAATTGTTCGTACAACGGTGTAGTAACACCTAAACGTCACTAGATATTAGTTTTATTAAAAAAAAAGTCGATATTAAAAACGACCATTCAATCCAATGCAATCCAATATTAGATGAGACTAGATTGAATCATAACCTCTTGTTGGACTGGATTATAAAATGTATCCAACTTACATTAGATCAGCTGAAAATTAGCTGAAAATTGATCGAAGAGGTGAACAACCCTAGTCTTCTGGCTAAGGAACCCTACTCCAAAACAAGATTTCCTTCTTTGGCAACAAAAATTAAAAAAAAAACAATGAAAGCCCTAATATCATAGCACTCTCTTTCCACCGGTAGTTCGACCAGTGCTCCACCATAAATTGCATTTGCCTATACAGAAAACGAGAAAATGGTATTTTTTGAGGCGAGACAGTAGAAACAACAGTATTCCGAAATCCACCAAAATAGAGAGAAAATTCTCAAATTGTATGAAAAATATGTTAGAGTTACCGATTAGGGTTCTGTAAGTTTGTTTAAATAAAAATATAAAACCCTAAAAGCCTAAGAATCTTAAAAGGAAGCAAATTACCAAAACGAAAAATTAATTTCAATTGAAGCAAAAATGGAATAAAATATCACCACATCGGGAATCCCAACTATTCACGATTTTTCCTTTTCTAGAGTTATATTTGTTATGCTTGAGTGAAATTTTCGCTTCTTGAAAAGAGAAACCTTACCATTGTTTCTTCATTTGAGAGTGATTCTGAATAGACCAATAATCACTTTTATGGAGAATAACTTCTCCATATAATATAATCACTTTAAGTGATTTTATGGAGAAGCACAGGGGAGCTGCATCTTCCCAGAATCACTTAAAATCACCAAAAGTGATTATATGAAGAAGCACATGTGAGGTGCTTCTTCCCAAAAGTGATTATGACCTATCTAGAATCATTCCCTTTCCTATTATATGGAACACCAAACAAAGAATTATTGAAAGTGACAAAAAAATATGAGAAGGAAAAGTGATTGTTTGACAAAAGTCATAATTTCTAAATTGACATAAACCAATTCCCATATTTGGATATAAAAAAACAAAGAAATTTAGGAATTTTCACATGGTGAAAAAACATGGAATTTAGAAGTCCCAACTTTAAATTCTATCTAAATAATCATCATTTCTAAAATTTCAAGAGATACCACCACATTTCCTTGACAATGACCACCACAGAGGACTAAAATATCAATGGTATCGGAAATATCGGTAGTCCAAAAACATGAAAATTTTGATGGAAATATTGGGATATTATCGGTATCAATAAAATTGAATAAAAACCACAAAAATTGTAGGAAAAACTTATTGAAACTTTGGAGGATGTTTATTTAATCAATTATCTATTAGTTTATCACAAAAAAAAAAAAAAAATATGAAAGAAATGCATTGCAAGATGAGTTTAATTGATTTAAATTGATTATATAGCAAGATGACAAACACTGTGAGTGTATAAAATATGTAGTAATTAATAAAAGAAGATTAAACACACCATAATCATTTACATATAATGATTTACTAATATTTTACACTTTATGCATTGCATGGTAAGATATATGAGTGACTTAGTACCATATAGAGTTTCCCTTCATGTATTATCACAAAAACATAAGCAACATAGTGGTTAAGGTGTTGGAGGAGTGAAATGGTAGGGGTTTGAATCCCCTTTGCGTGTGTGCTTTATGTTTTTTTTTCTTCATTTTTCCTTTACATTGATATTTTCGATATTATAACAATATTTTGACAGAATATTGATATTGCTGAAGTGTAAGAGAAATTATTGTCGATATCATCGATATTTATATGATATGTGTATAGATATGTTCCGAAATATTCGTGACCCAAAAAAAGGGTAATATCATCGATATTTCGTTGATATTATCGACATTTTAGACCTGACTACCACCATGACCATCCCACCAATACCACCACTTTTATTTAAACAGTTTTCATAATTAATTGTTGTACCTCATTAATTACTGTGATAAAATAATATAATTATTTACTGATTTTTCCTAACACACCTCACATTTGCTCGGAACGTGCTAATTTTGTTGAAAAATAATTGGCAAAATGAAGTCATTGTACCCGAATTGCACCAACTAGTAAACTACAGACTTACTGGCAAAAAGTCGAAACCACATGAAACATGGTGGAATGGTAAAGAGACTGGGGAACATTCTTATTTTATTTACCTTTTATGGTAAGTACTACGGAATCTCTCACCTAAAGAAATAAATCAACTCATTATTTTCCGACTCTGATTGGCAGAATTTCCACTTTCAACTGCCTCTAAGCAAGGTCATAAGTCATAAGTCACAATAATCATTTTACGAAAAAGATACAAGCTACAATCTAAACTACTCAAAATTAATCTATTCTATGGAAAGGGAGACTTGAACTTGAGTGCAAAAGGGTGAACTCACAATAATCTTTATTAATTATACAAAAATTGAACTTCTTAAGAAGCATGACTGGTTTGGTGATCCATTTTTGTTTTCAAGATGCAGATATCATCATGTCTACAACCGTTGAAACTAAATAGTCACCCTTTCTGCGACTGAGTTTCAAATATGTAGTTGACTGATCCAACCAAGGATGGGCTGATGCGAAATGACCCCACAAAAAAAAAACTTACAAGGAACAAAATAAAACCAATGAATGAAAACTAAAGCAACGTGATCCCTTTCTATATCAGTTTTCCCAATAATTTTAACACTGTGATCCTTACAGTCTATGAAAGATATATTCATACTTTAACTTTTGATGTTCTTCTTTTCGCGTTAACAAATACATGGAAGGCCAAAAGGAGTAAAACAAGAGTCGCGCCTAATGAGAGGACTTTTATGCCTGTGCCATATGAGCTCTTCAGCATCCTCCGCCAAATTTCCTGCAATTTAGATCACATTAATCAATGGAACTATGTTCGTTCAATTAATTAGCTATGGTGAAATGTCTTTGTGCACCTCCCCCTTCAACAAGTAAAATTCCAAAACTTGCGTGTTAGGTGTAGAAATTGGGGAGACAGAAACATGAATTTAGAGGTTTCCTGAAAAGAGCTAAAAAGGATGAAGCAGATATGTTTTGGAATGTCATGTGACCACTGACCACAGACCACAGCGTACCAATACTATTGAAAGCTTTATCATTAAGTGCAGAATATGTAAAGTAATTATGTAAATATGTTCAAGAACTTAATCATCATCTTCTATATTCAATGCCTATCACCAAGCCTCAAGCTGATAAATAGAAGCTAGCAAAGGACTTTCAAACATGCATAAAAGAACATAAACATTAGATACTAGTAAGAGGTTATCAGTGCATTCTGCATGTAGATGACACAGGATAAAGCTCGGTTCAAAATGAATATCTAATAGTAATTGTAATTATGCAATGAAACCAAGCTGCTCTTTAGATGGAGAAACCGTCAGGATATGATTTGGCCAGTGAAAACAACCATGATGGTTGTTGTACAAAACATGAACACCTACATAGGTCGAGCAATCTGAACACTCTCAAAACCACATTAACAATTTCCAACAACAATTACTATTTCAGTTCCAAAGCTCCACTATAACAGAATTTACAATTTGTCATTGGACGTAATTTGGAACCTGGAAAACATCTTAACACTTTCTACACATGAACGCCTACAAAAGGCTTCAATTTCCTAAAACATATAATGTATCTTTTTCCAACGCAATACATTTTCAGTTCCAAAACTCAATTTTGGCAAAACCAAAAAGGCATGGTTGAATGTAAATTTGTCAATTGGAAGACAAGCTGACCCCATAAAGATAGTCCAGCACATCCAACCATATACGTAAGTATTAACATAGAGAATTATTAGCCTTGAACAAAGAGACTTACTGTGATGCCAAAATTACGCTTATGTTGCTTTGCAAAGATATTCTGTGCATGTTTATAAAGCTCCAAATCAAGGTGGTTAAGTTGCCTTATCTGCTGGAGGACCACTTCAGGAACCTGAAGTCGTGCCTGTAATAATTAAAAGGTCAAAATGTCATCCAAAGAAAACGGGACCATAAAGCCCAATTTAATAATTTATGCAATCCAAGAAAGGTGAGTTATAGCAACTCAACACCGATACGGCAAGTTCAAGTGCTTAAGAGGCAGTTCACGAAGTAACATGCAAACCAGGGGAATAGGCTTTACAATATTATATTCTATAAATCAGAGCTGTTCATAATATGTCCTAGAAAGTTGATGCATCTAACCCAGAAGAGGACCAGTACAAGGAGGAGCGGATGATATGCACACACGTTAATGAATGATGTAAAACATCATCTAGAGTACCAGCTACTTTGGAGAAACTAGAAATTGAATGCTACCTCCTTTGTAAAGTTTGCCGGGGAGATTCTCTTCAAAGAAGCGTTGTGCCGGAGTGTTTGAGACTTCCGTAAATTAGAAATGCAGTCTTCATAAGCTTCCATAAGTTCTTCCACAGTCATCTAACAAGGTGTAAAGAGGATCAAAGTCAACAAAGTAGCAGGATCAACTATTGTTATCAATATTGAAAATGACTTACATTTCCTTTCGCTGGTTCAACAGTTTCAGGAGAAGCAAACTCACTTTCCTTCCCATTTGGGGTTCTGTTCTGTCATATGCAGCAAAATTGCAGTAAGAAATCTGGCAAAATCACTATCCAAACATGAAGCATTTCACATACTAATGATGGCTTTTGCTAATTACCAGAAGATCATTACTATCCAGCTTGGAATCTGAATCTGAATCTGAGTAGTTCTGTTCTGTAGCACAAGTAGAAGAATAAGATAAACACCAAATTCATTGCCTAAATAAACTCTATATGGTAACTATAGTAAAAATGAAAATTCCACATGTTACCCAAAGTACCATGCAACATAAAATTTTGTAATCCTAATAAATTCAGCTTTAAGGCATCACACAATTTGAAGTTGAACTGCATGTTCTCAACTTTGTTGTGCTCTTAACACTGAACAAAATGAACAACTCCATTTGATTATTTTTGCAGTACTACACCAGAACTAGGTTAGACAACAGAATGTTAAGTAGATGTCATACTGACCGGATTTGCTGTCAGCAGCACTCTCCTCACTAGAATTTGATCCTCCCAGCTGTGAAATCACCTGGGCACCAACTACATTCGCAAACATTGTTGCAGATTCTCTGTGCTCCTCAGTGAGACCAACATATAACATATCATCCAACCTCTTCTGCAAAATTTACAAGCAACCATAAGGAAATGAAGATTACTAAAGAGACAATATTTGTAACCAAATCATGTGGACAATTTTAAAAAGTTGATTTGTATTACCTTCGCGACTTGTAGGACATGATCACCAAGATGTTTATACTTCTGTACACAATGGCGCACTTCATGTGCTTCTGATAGATAGGAGTTGTTTGTCAATCCTGCAACCTTTCGAACCAAACAGTCAACCAGATAATAAAATAAATATATTTATATAAATTTTGACAGTGATGCTAAAAAAAAGAAGAGAACTTTGTAACTGCATTGAATTCTGACCCCCCCTTTTTTTTGTTGGGGGAGGGGGGCGGGCGCCGCTGGCAGCTGGCTACTAAAGCATTTCAAAAGTTTAACAACCAAAATTTCAACCAAACATTGCTGAAGTTCCGACAACATAGTGGAAGGACTAGTTTCAGTGTTGGTACCACCAAAAAATGGAAATACTGGCTGATATTTAGGCATGTCACCCAATATTTTAAACATTTGATCAAACTAGAAGATCATTCAATCAGTTAACATGATAGAAGAAATTCAACCAAACACAATAATCTCAATATTAACTAAAATTAGAGAACCATTTAGTATCTAAGCAAAGCTGTCTAGCGCTTTCCTAGGTCATGGGTGGAGCCACCAAAAATTTAATTAAAAATAAAACAAGCATTAAAGATTCCCATTATGCTATTAAACCATAGGAGGATAAACAACCTGAAATGTTGCTCCATTGTGAACAACTTCTTGAGCTATATGGTGATTGATGAACTTGTGTAATGGCATCACAATTTCTTCCATGTTGTATGGGTCCTTGCTCTGAAAGTTATTTGAGCCCCTAAGCTTTCGACCATCTCTCTGTACAGCAAAGTCAATACAAATAATGTCCCCAGGGAGAAAAACTGCACTTCAACAGAAATATACTAAAAATACATGAGAGCTGTAGAAACCAAAAAGGTCAAATGGGTCCAAGAAGCACAGAAAAAAGCATACCCGAGTAAAAAGGTCTTCCCTCATCCATGGAACCAAATATTTCCATGGCCAAATATCCAGCGTGCTTACTCCTTTAGTCCTTGCCCGTATACGTCTTGTCATTTGTGTTGCAGAAGTTAAGTTAGGATGCACCAAAAACCTAGCAGCTACCTCTACCGAAAATTCGTAAGTACTAAAAACACGGTCAACCGGATTCCTAAGTATTGTCACTACTGATGTTCTCTCCCTGGGAAGTTTGGACATCATACTATAATCATCATGAGTAACCAACAATCTGCACTGCCGTTTTCTGCAAAAGGTACAGAATTAACATCCATGATGCATACATGTGAAAAGTTAGGAAAGAATAAGGTAAATATGAGGATGTAGTTCTGTAAGACATCCAACTTAGTTGCTGATTTCAACCTTGGCTTTATTTTAAGATGCTACCCTATCAGAAGCATCTATGAAAACCTTGGGAAACAAGTTTCTAAGAAAATCCACGCCTCATGATCTGTCTCCTTTTAATTATGTGTTTTCTCCCATTTATGAGTCAATAAGTAGAATATCACAGTCAATATAGAAAATAACAGCTCTAACGAAAAACCCTTCCCCTCTGCAAGCCAATGGAGCTACCAACTTCCACCATATCTGTTAAGTTGTAATTTGCAAATAAAAACACCCTCCTGCAAAATCTCTAACCTACATACATCTCAATGTAATCGAGTTTACAGATTGTCTTGCAACAAATTGATTTGAATGCAGTGATACTCAAGTATTGAGAAATTTACGAAACTGAATATGTCAAGAAACAAAACTATACAAGAGAAAACAGGATATCACCTAGGATCAAATCGAAGCTTATCATACGATCGAGGGCATTCCAGAGAGCTATAGTACAACTTTCTCAAGAAACTGTGTGTGTAAACATAGCCAGAAGTATGAATCAATATGGTTGTCAAATCATGGGGTTACAATCTTTAGGTAATAAAATTGGACCTATTGGAATTACCAGTGGAAATATGTACGCCCTCCTGTTCTGGGGACGTGAAGGAAAAATAGCAAATCCCGCAGTGTGTGTTTGTCTTCTTTAACTTCTTGTTGAAGTGAAGAAAATGCCCATTTTTTGACAACTCTTTCACAATGCTCAAAATCATTCTTAATAGGAGAGGCATTCACAGCTGTGGATGAGTTATGAGAACCCCAAGAATAGCAGCCTGACCAAAATAATTATCCAAGTAATTGAAGGGGTTCGAAATGAAAGAAAATAGAAAGAAGTAACTAAAAAGGGTTTAAGCAAAACAGAAAGGTCCCCCAGTTTGTTTGGCACTCGAATGGGTTCACATAGCATGAGGTTCATCTCCACACAATCCCACCTAAACTGCCACAACATATATGCATACATACCTACATACCTACATATACGAAGACTACCTATGTACAATATTACAAGAACAAAAGAGGTAACTTGAAAAATACAATAGCTTGCAGACCAAAAAGAAAAATTAAGAAATGATAAGAACAGATTATAGGATAAGCATAAAGAGACTAAACTGAGTTTGATACATACCCAATCCGAGAAGCAACAGCAGGATAGAGAATTTCAGAGTAGGATCCATACACCTTATTCCTACTCCACACACTGTAACAAAATAACAATAAGACAAAGTTGGAAGCTTTCTCAAAGTGTTGAGGGAAAAAAACATATAAAATGACAAAATAAGTAGCTATTCGGCACAACATGAATGAAAATGAGCACACCTTAAAAGTCAAAACTAATTCTATTTGCTTGCTTGTGAAAATTTTCCCACAAATTTCTTTCCTTTTCCTTTCAAACAAACATGATTTAAAGCCAATCCCCTAAAATAGGAAACAGAGGACCAGACATTTTGGACACTACGAGCTGAGATATCGAAATAGGCAAACTTGCAAGAACCCAGAAGACCCTAACGAGCAGAACGACAAGAAGAAAGCGAGAAATTCAAAGAAGACATGAAGAAAAGAAAGGGAAATGGAACAAAATTCGATGGTTTGGTTCACCTGTATCGAAATTGGGGGTCTCGTGCTCATAAACGGTGTTTGGACTCTAGCAGACAGCGGTGAGGCCGATCAACGAGGGTTGAGGCCCCACCTTTCAGAACCTTCCAGAGATCCTGAAAAGGTCGCTCGGTCCCCTGGTTTCAAATTTTCTCAGCAACCAAACAGAACAGCAATTTTCACAGGAAAATTTCTTTTTTATTTTTATTTTTAAAAACTCTGCAATTTTGTGTTTGATGTTGATTGGTTGAGGATCAGTGGGTCTTTTAAAGTTGTATTTGTGCGCGCGCCACTCCAAATGGAAGGTTGTTGTATGGAAAAATAATGAAGGGAAGTTTGTCCAGAAGCTATCTGTTTTACAGGGGCAAACTCGTCATTAAAAAATTAGGATTTTCAGTTGAATCATGTCTGTTTTCTGTTTTGTTGCCGGTGTTTTTTTATTTTTATTTTATTTTATATTTTGGTTATGTAATGAAGACAGTTTTAAAAAAATAGAGGGTAATATGATGGATTGAATTATAAACACTGTCAGGATGATTTTTTTGGAACATAAACAACAACCTCCTTCTGAAAAAGAAATTAAATCAAATGTAATTTTTTTTGTCTATCTAGTTTTGCTTGATTTTCCATTTTAAGTTTTTTTTTTCTTTATTATTTCTTTTTCTATAAATTTTTTGCCGTCCCTTACGAATGAATACGGATTCGCATTTCATGTTTGGTAAGTACCCTTTCTATATAGAGGGGGAATTTCATATACTTTTTTTCCCCATTTGGAAAATCATTTGACTCACTTTTTTTTTTTTGGGACCAACTTTGTCATGTTCTAAATTTCAAATACCACTTTTAGTTAATAATTTTTATAGGAAAATTGAACAAATTTGTAATTCATAATATTATGCATACCAACTATGAGAATAAGAAAAAATGGTATTTCTTTATCCCTATTTCCTAGCATTCCCAAACACGAAATCGCGGGACTTATTTCTTTACCTTAATTTATATTTTTCTAAAACCACATTCTTAAATTTGAAGGTTTTTAATTTTAACTAGACAGAATTGACCGTATTAGATTTGAACAGAATCATCATGTCATAGAAGGACAAAATGACAATAGCATCCCTTAGTAGAAGGCAGGTTGGGCAAAGCTGTTGGTTTTTGGGCAGAAAGTTGGGGCAGGCTGTTTGGGTTTAGGGTTTAGGGTGGACTATTTTAATATTGCTGTAGTGCGACACAGGGTGTCCCTCTCATCCTTGGACAACGGTGGGTTGTGGAATCGTGGACTGTGGAGCTCTTATTATTACAAATAAATATTGTATTTGCTTTTTTCATGGGGCCAAAGTAGAAATGGAATCCTACCGCCCACCACCCTCTACGGGAGACAACTTGTATATCACAAGGACAGCCGTCAAGTGTGATAACTCTTCGACATGACCCAATGTACAATTTCTTCGCTCTCTATGACCCAATATTCTATGTCATGGCCTCTTTGGTGGAATCCTCTGCCTATCCACTTGCTGTTTTAGCCACATGCTATGCTTCTTCTTCCATTTTTCTTTCATTTTCCTTCTGCTAGTGCCACATCCTAGGCTAGTCCCATCTCTAGTATTGTGAAGATTAAAATAGGAATGAAGACCCATGAGCTTGATAATTATTGCAGCACTTTCTTGACAATAACCATTTTGTTTTTAGTTTTTATTTCTTCTTTTAGATATAATAAAAATAAATGAGGAAGTGGAGAAAAGGTGAACGGTGATGCAGAAGGGATCATATGATGAATGGTATACATATATGGGTGAGTCGTTCTATGGTAAAGGTGTACCATAGGTGTGGACTTTCATATTAGTCGCATGATTTATCTGAATAGTAACTTCACTTAAATTTAATACAAATTTATAAATAAACCCAATCCTAGACATGTATTTATAAAAAAATCCAAGTACTATTTAAACATAGAAACACACCCAAAATCAACCCCAAAGTCAACTTTCTGGGTGTGTTTATAAATGAGTTTTGAGTGTGTGTAATGATGGGTTTTGGGTGTGTTTATATGTTTAAATAGTGCTTGAGTTTTTTTTATAATTTCAGCCCCTATTTTGGGTGTTTTAGTAAAACTCCCTAAATTTAATGAAATGATCATGTACCTAATATGAATGTCTACATAACGGGTCCATATATGACCTTCACTATAGAATTTCGCATATATAGGTTGATATGTTTCATTAATTTTAAAAGGCTACTATTGAATCACCGGCCCATACCTATATGTACTGACCATGGGCAGAAACTGAGTTGTATGATTTGCCAGATTTAAGGCCCAACCCAACTAAAAATGATTGAAGTACAGCAGCAAAAAATAAGTTCTGCTTGACATTAAAATATCAATTGAGCAAGTAAAAGAATTTGGTAATGAAAGCAAACGAAACTAAAGTGAAGATTAGCACTAATGAAAAAAAAAACCATCTTTACAAAGGTGGAAATCAATCCTAATGATATCTAAAGTGCCATGCCTTATCTGTAAGTTATTTGAGCCTCTAAGCTTTTGCCCAGCTCTCTGTACAGCAAAGTCAATACAAATAATGTCCCCAGGGAGAAATACTGCACTTCAACAGGAATTTACTGAAAATACATAACCAAGTAAAAAGGTCAAATGGGTCCAAGCAGCACAGAAAAAAGCATACCCAAGAAAAAAGGTCTTCCCTCATCCATGGAACCAAATATTTCCATGGCCAAATATCCAGTGTGCTTACTCTTTTAGTCTTTGCCCGTATACGTCTTGTCATTTGTGTTGCAGAAGTTAAGTTAAGATGCACCAAAAACCTAGCAGCTACCTCTACCGAAAAATCGTAAGTACAAAAAACATGGTCAACCGGGTTCCCAAGTATTGTCACTACCCATGATGTTCTCTCCCTGGGAAGTTTGGACATCAAACTATAATCATCATGAGTAACCAACAATCTGCACTGCTGTTTTCTGCAAAGGGTACAGAATTAACCTCCATTAATGATGCAGACATGTGAAAAGTTAGGAAAGAATAAGGTAAATATGAGGATGTAGTTCTGTAAGACATCCAACTTGGTTGCTGATGTCAAGCTTAGCTTTATTTTAAGATGCTACCCTAGCAGAAGCACCTATGAAAACCTTGTGAAATTTTTTTCTAAGAAAATCCACCCTCATGATCTGTCTCCTTTTAATTATGTGTTTTCTCCAATTTATGACTCAAAAAGTAGAATATCAGAGTCAATATAGAAAATAACAGCTTTAACAACAAACCCTTTCCCTCTGCAAGCCAATGGAGCTACCAACTTCCACCATATCTGTCAAGTTGTAATCTGCAAATAAAAACACCTTCCTGTCTCTAACCTACATTCATCTCAATGTAATCGAGTTTACTGATTGTCATGCAACAAAATGATTTGAATGAAGTGATACTCAAGTATTGATAAATTTACGAAATTGAATATGTCAAGAAACAAAATTATACAAGAGAAAACAAGATATTACCTAGGATCAAATCAAAGCTTATCATACGATCGAGGGCATTCCAGAGAGCTATAGTACAACTTTCTCAAGAAACTGTAAGTGTAAACATAGCCAGAAGAATGAATCAATATAGTTGTCAAATCACGGGGTTACAATCTTTAGGTAATAAAATTGGACTTATTGGAATTACCGGTGGAAATATGTACGGCCTCCTGTGTTAGACAACTAGGAAAGTAGTTAGACTTAAATTGTGATTGTACGATTGTACTCCTAACTTGTAGGAGGAATCCTTGCTACTCAAGGATTGTAAATTGTATATATACACATTCACGTATCAATGAGAATTATTTTGCCATATATTATTTTCCTACATGGTATCAGAGCAGGTCTAAAACCCTAGCTCTATTTTTTCCTTTTTTCTCAGCAGCCGTCTCTGCCACTCAATTATAGCCGACTCTTCTTCCTCTGATGGCCCCTTTTACATTCATCATTCCGACCATCCAAACCTTGTTCTTGTCTCCAAAAAATTAAATGGTGATAACTACACCTCCTGGGCCCGTGGCATGCAGATTTTCTTGAGTGCCAAGAACAAACTTGGTTTCATCACTGGAGATATTAAGGAACCTTCTTCCTCCACTGATCCTGATGATCACGCAGGTTGGCGCTGTTGCAATGACATGATTCTTTCTTGGATTCTTCATTCATTGGAACTTGACCTTCAAGAATCCGTTCTCTTTTCTGTCTCTGCCAAGGACGTGCGGGACGATCTTCGCGAACGGTTTTCTCAGAGTAACGCACCTCGTATCTTCCAACTCAACCGTGACCTCGCTACAATTTCACAAGGATCCTCTTCCGTCTCCGCCTATTTCACTCTTCTCAAAGCTCTCTGGGATGAGCTTGCCTCTTATAGTGAAGACACGTGCTCTTGTGGTACAAAGAATGAACGACAACATCTTATGTAGTTCCTCATGGGTCTTCACGACTCTTTCTCTGTTGTTCGTGACCAAATCCTCTCGATGAATCCTTTACCCACTGTTCTTCAGTTTCTTAGGTCGAGAAACAACGGTCCTTGGGCTCTGTCCGCCCCACCGACTCCCCCGCTGCCATGGCTGTGCGCAGTTCTTCCCACACCTTCTCTGACAGACCTCCGCTTCATTGCACCTACTACGACTACGATTTCCATACTCGTGAGACTTGCCATAAGCTTCATGGCTATCCCGTTGGTCATCTTCTTCATAGGCAACCCTGGCGACCACCATGTCGTCCGTCCACCTTTGGCGGCCCCTCTCGCAGCAGCACTGCTACTCCTTCTGCACGCAGCGCCTTCTTGGCTTTCTAGCAGCACCCGGCACTCATCAGGCAGCAACTCCAGCGCCTTTTCACAACGTTCTTCACCCTCTACCCATCATGTGCACGGCTCTCCCAGCTTTCCGGACCTGCAAATAGCCATGTCTAATTTGTCCGCTGATCAATACACTCGTCTCCTCGCTGCTCTTGATGATTCCACAGCCCCATCGTCGTCTTCTCCTTAAGTTTACGCCGTCTCTAGTGATGCCTTCGCTCAAGATTTGTTGCCCATTGCCCTATGTCATGGTCCATGGATTCTTGACAGTGGCGCCACAGATCATATTACTTCCTCGTCTTCCAATTTGGTTCATACTTCTACTTCATTTTTGCCGCCTGTTTCCTTGCCTAGTGGTGCCACAACCCCAATTACTTCAACTGGGACTCTTCACTTAAATTCC